AGTTATTTTAAATTGTAATAATATTTCACAGTTTTACTGTATTTGTGAGCTAATAAATGCAGCGTTGATGAGCAGAAAATATGTCTTTCAAAAACATTAAAAACTCTTACCGACATCAAAACTTTGAAAAATATTCTTTGCAGAAGTTGATAACTGTTTTAATCACTATACAATATGTTAATGCACCTGCTACAGCACTGACACAGCACCAGAGGGCGCTCTCACCTAAATACTGACTAGTGCTGTTTAGAATAGCATACTTCTCTTAGGTCTATCTGTAGTATGTATACTGCTCACTTGCACAGTATGCATTTTCTGTATGCATAGAATACCCAAACAGAAATAGTATAGTGCATATTATATGTTGTACACTATGAAGTATACTAAATAAAAATAGTATGCGCAGCAGCACAGTATGCAGTACACTAGTATTCAAGTCTCAACACAGCCCTGAACGCATTCGCTACCATCTGTTTATGATTTTCTGTCAGTGTATAAATAGCCTGGTCAATCTATCATGTGTGCAGATTCTGAACATTATGGTCTTGTTCTTGTTTGTTGTTGCCTTCACTCTAGTGTTTGGACTGCTGTGACTCTCTTTCATGCTAAGTTTTGTTTAGGGTGAGATGTTGCAAGATGTCCTCTGGCGCAGGATTTCCCTTTTTGAAATATATTTTTCGTTGTTCTTGTTGTTTGTTTTGTAATTTTGAGGTGTTCAGTTTAATTTTGGTTTTAGAAAATAAACGTAGAAAATGGCTCTCCTCACAGATCAACTCTTTCTTGTTTTTGTTTCATGCTCTCTGTGCCTTGCCCTGGACTTTTAGGTCACTTCCTGTCTCCCGTGGTGTTTGTAGTCAGTTTGTAGTCTGTTTGTTCATTGGTTCCCCTTGATTAGTCTCCCCAGGTGTGTCTTATCTTGTTAAGCTTGTTAGCCCACTGTGTGTTTATAATTATATAGCCCTAGTTTTTCTTTAGTTCCTTGTGAGTTGTTGAATGTAATGGTTGTCAGTTTGCCAGTCATTCTGTTCTTTGTTCCCTTTGGTTTTTGCCTTATTGTTTGTTCTAGTTTTTCCATGAAATACCAGCACATAGATCCTTGCCTCTGCCTGTTTCCCCCAGCTTCTCCACAACATTACAGTTTTTTTAACTATCATGTCTCTTTGACTAGTACATCTTTGAACCTATATTTAGTATAAGTAAAGTACTTAAGTACTGTTAAAATCAGATACTCTAAGACTTTTACTCAAGTTGTTTTGGAATTGGTGATTTGTAACGTGTAGTGGAGTAATTTTCACTGTAAAGTATCTGTACTTTTACTCCAGTATGGTTTTTAGGTACTCTTTACACCTCTGATAGTTTGTCTATACAATGGAAGTCAATGGGAACCAAACCCATTTGGTTACCAGCATTCTTCAAAATATCTTCCTTTGTGTTCCACAGATGAAATAAATCATGACAGAATTTTTCAACCATTTTAAAACATCTAAAACATTAGATGTTTCTTTATTTTGGACTGAAAAGATAAAGTGAGGTCCTTGAGGTTAAATGCACCCCTGAGAATCAGACACCAGACACCCAAATGGCATGACATAGATGGTTTTATTATTTTTAGCCTAATTGATTATTTTAACTGAATAATTTTAAAATAGTAGATTCCCATGGGCTAACTGAGAATAATCATTCAGTCTATTGCTATTATGACATCAAGGAAATTAAAGAAAAAGCCTACCTTTCCAGATATCTTTAACTGGGATTCGATTTTTCAGTTTGTCTTAACTACATTCAAAAAGCATATTTTAATAAAAGTTTGAGAGATTTATTTATTTATTTTTACCTTCTGTGGGTCAGGAAACTGCCGCTGACGTGTCCAGAGCCGTCACAGCCTGGGGTGGGACATGACATACCGTCCGTCTTCCCAGCCTTCCATGTGAACTGGGGGCCATTGATATAGCCGTCCTTCTGCCGTTTGGCCGCTAGAGGGCAGCCTGATGCGCTGCGGTGTGACGCATATTTGCCCGTTATGTGACCCTGACCATCACAACCAGGAACCGGACACCTGAAAACATAAATAAACTACTGTTTCACTGTACTGGGATCTCTTTCACACAAACTACAAAACAAAAATAACACTGCCTATAGTGCCACCTACACTCTAAAAAATGCTGGGTTAAATACAACCCAGTGCTGGGTAAAATAGGGACAAACCCAGCAATTGGGTTGTTTTGACCCAGCGGTTGGGTTACTACCCAGAAGGTTGGGTTAAACATTTAACCCAACCGCTGGGTCAAAACAGCCCAATTGCTGGGTTTGTCCCTATTTTACCCAGCACTGGGTTGAATTTAACCCAGCATTTTTTTGAGTGTAGCAGAAGCTGGATTATAACTATAACTTTTTGCCTCCTTATATTGTCTAGTAATTGGAACACATCACTTTAGTGTCATAAAAGATCAACATAGTCTGTTAAAGGAAGTTGATAAGTTTGGTGGCAGTGACTATATTTGCAATATTCACATCCAGGAAAGGAAATAATTATTGTTTGGATGTCACTTAGAAGAAGTGGATGCAGATGAAGTTATCGCAGGCAGTGAGTCGGTACCTGATCGGCTCCTGGTCTTCCTTGTCCTCTTTACTGTGTGTTATCTTTATTCCAGTCTTCCGAGCCCGTGGGCATCCTGACAAACTGAGGTAAAACAAACTGTTGTTACTTAAGCGAAATTAAGTACACTTCAAAATACTTCAACAGAGTATTTATTATGAAAATAAGATGCTTTAAAAGTGTGAACTAAAGGCAATGTTTTCAGACACTTAACTGCATGTTGTTTACAACTGAATGAAAATGTATTATAGTTTAAATGTATATTAAATGCATTTAGCAGTGCTTTTTGACCCACTTAAGTACACTTTTATATGTCATTTCATAATTATTGTCTTTTGAAATATGGTGAAAGTGTACTGCCGAATATACTGACAAACATTTATGGTAAACTAAAATACAATTTAATACCATTTCTATTAGACCTTATATTTAAATATATTCGTTTGTAATGTCAAAGTTGTAATTTAGTACATTTAAAATATATTGACTATAAATGTAATATTTGAATAACACACTACAGTTCAAATTATAATCAAGTACTTTACAAGTGCTTTAATGTGTTACGAAACATAGTCATTAAAAGTGAACTCTCTTTAGTACACTAACATTAATTGGATTTTTATTTATTATTGGAATTTTGTTTTGTTCCACGAGGGTGTGTGTGCACATTACCTTCTATGTGAAGCATAGTTGCCAGTGATATGTCCCGAGCCGTCACAGCCCGGGGTCAGGCACCTGGGACAGAAATACACCCTGTTACTGCCCAGCATGCAAAAGAACAGCCCTGACGTAACATTCCCAGCGTCTTCTTTTTGACTCACACAACAGCCTTTCTACAAACCTTCCAAATAAAACTCATGATTTGTTAAATGAATGCAAGGCTTATAGAAATGTAGGAAAGAAGCTTCATAGCCTGAGGCAGTGCATTCATTACATTAGCAATACAATAAAAAGTGTCCAATAATCAGATACAAAACAGCTGTAAGCATCTTTTTAACTACTTTTATTATTTGACTAACATGAGTATTTGTGATATTCTGTCTCGTTTCCCCTGTTTTGTGTTTAAGGATGTTTATGTTTGTGTAATTCTTTTTCACGAGGGAAGCTCAATAGTTCAACTCTGTTATGGGAATAAAACAACAGTGATCAGTTTTGTTAAATTATTATTGCTATTATTATTATTGTGTGGCACTTTTTTTTTTTTCATATTACAAAATGTATTCCCTGTGAAAATTATGGTGTGACGCAATGATATGTGTCAACTAAGGCAATTATTATCCATTTAACAGGACTTTAAAATGTGCAGTTTTACTGTATTGGGGGGTCCGGGGGGGCCTTTTGTGTACATAGAAAAAGTCTTAGATCTTTGAGTTCAGCTCATGAAAAATGGGGGCAAAAACAAAAGTGTTGCGTTTATAATTTTGTTCAGTGTATATATACTCCATTATCTATTCAAGTTATAAGCATATCATACATTTCAAACTTACTGTGACTCACTGTCTCTACTGAAATAACATCAAGTAGCACTTTTACATGGTTCATAAGTATTGGCGCTTAGTAAGCTGTAATCACATATTAATGATTAAAGTAATATTTCAAGAATAAGCTATTGATAAACTCATATTTGTTGATCACTAATCTGAATTTTTGGTTAATTTCCCTATTGTTGCGTCTCATTATCTATGATGGCCATGGCCCTGGTGCTTTAGGTCTGGAGTGGCATAACATTATGTTTTTGAAAACAACAGTTTGATCCTTACTTGAGTTCTTGTGAGTTGGTGGCCATCATACTCCGAATGCTTTTATCTGCTAAAGGACAACCTGAAAGACTAAAAGATTGCATATGCAGATGTTAGTGAAACAAAACAGTGGTCAGACATGCTACTAATACTAAACAACACACACACAGACATAATCCACTCAGAAAACACTGCGAATGCAATAAAGCCATGGTGCAAGTGGAGGGGATTTTTTTTTTTTTGCTCTATATTTTAACCCTTTGAATAGCAAAGCATTTTTTTTTCTTGAAATTAGCACTTATCCCTGGTGACATATTCAAAGGGTTAACATGGAGAGGTGGTCTCTACAAACTTTCCGACAGCATAGTTGAAGTAAGCTGAAAACAATAAATTCATTAGACTGAATCCACCATTAGAAAATGGAGTCACACCTTCTATGTGAGGCGTAATTATCGGTTACGTGACCACTCCCATCACACCCTGGTGTTGGACATCTGTCTCCAGAAAAAATATACAGAATGTAAGGCCAAAATCCAAAACATAACAAAGGAAACAAAATATTATATTACCAAATGTCAACGAAAAATGCTTGGTAAAAATGGCAACACTTCAATTGAGTCCCCACATGAGCATTACAACACCTTTATGTGCATTACAGGGGTTAGAAACATTAAAAGAGCTGAAATGTTTTTATTAGGGCTGCCAATTTTACATTTTCGATCAGATTAATTACATTATATGTTGATTAATTAGTTAAATCAATCACAATTACTGCAGATTCACAAAAACATGAAGGTGCTACTTCAAGCGTGCTCCAATAATGAGAAAAGTAACTTTTAATCACAATAAGGAACGCTGTCACATTTTAGTAATTATGTCTGAAACCAGAAATGCTACTTACTGAAATGAAAGCCATATAGCCGATATGTCTCTATACTGTTGCTTAAATGACTGCTAATTCAAGTTGGGAAACTCAAATCAGAGTATTTGACAAATGGCTATTTCTCCATTAAAGACAACTGAATCGTATCCTCATTGTTGCTTTCTGAGAACTGTTTGTTTCTCCTGACATGTGCCAGAGAATTAGACTTTTTCATACTTTTGACCTGACACCCAATCATATTTTGTTTCATACTTTCTGAGATTTGTTTACTCTTGCTTTGAACCAAACAGACCAACATTTAAATATTTTAAATAAAACAAAAATGTTATATGTGCTACACTACACTATAAATCTAAATCCAGAGGATCACTTGTATCATCATTATATATCGTCATTATAGATATAACTTTATTACTTTCTGTAAAGCTGCTTTGAAACTATGTGTATTGTGAAAAGTGCTATTTCACTTGATTTGATGCATTATTACTGTAAATGCACTCCTTTTTAATTTGTTTTTCTTTAGATCATTAAATGAATCTGTTAAATTGACAGCCCTAATTCGATTACCTTTTTGGTCCAGTTACAGTCTATGCATTGGTGCCTAGTTGAACCTGAACTCTGATTGGCTGTTAATGCAAAGTGTTGCCCAAATATCTATGATGTTGTTTTTATCGTTTACAGTTCTAGTTTATTGTTTCCAGTTTAGCTTCACTGTCTCCAAGAGTGTATGTGTCACAAATCCTGTCCATGGACTTCTGTCCGCTTGCCACCAGAGGTTGCCCTCCCATTATATTGACTTTCACATTACACAGACTGTTGCATGTCACTCTGGACTACATTTCCCATCATCCATTGCACTGATTGCACACAGCTGTAACCAATCACACACACACTATATTACACCCACTCAGATCCTTCTCAAACTGCCGAGTATTGTTTGCGCATATCGCTAGTCTGTGATAGCAACGTTACGGAGCCATTCTGAGTTTGCCTAGTTTCTAGTCTTGGTCTGTTTCGCCTGTTTAGTCTAGTTGTGGTTTTGGATATCTTGCCTGTCTTTGGATTGCCCCTCTCGTCTCGCCCTATTCGGATACTGTTTACCCTTCGCCTGGACCATCGCCTGTGTTTCGGATTAACCCTTAGGATTACCTTGTTTGGACATTGTTCGCCGAAGATCGACCACGCCCGTTCACTGGACTACTCTTGTGTCTTGCCCTCAATATACCCGTTTGCCATTGTTTGACCCATGCCTGTTATGAGCACATCTCTTAATAAAAGCATGCACATGGATCCGCTCGCTTCACGTCTCTGTCGCCCCGTAACAGTATGAGTCCTAAATCACATCACATCCTAGAGACAAGCTGAGCCATGAACGGCTCGAATTAAATTATGTTTTAAATCCATAAAGCATAAAAAAAAAAAGAAGTGCACTCGGTGTCCTGACTCTACATTTATGTCAGATCATGTGGCATGCAGTAGAGCTGAGCTCTAAAGAAGAAAGTAAGAGAAGATAAAGGAGAGGAACAGGAAGAGACGGGTGGGTGATCACATCATTGCTCACGTTATCAGGTCCTTTTTGCTTTCTTTGCAAGGCGGGAATTTTGGTTTGGGACTGGGAATGCCGACATCAGTAGTGTACGCGCTGTCCTCTAAAATGTCCTGGAAGGGATCCAGATCATCAGCCTGTAACAAAGCCAGAAAGTAAGAGAAAGAGAGCTGTTAGTATTAGGTGTTTCGCCACAATCTCTTTCATTAGAGAATCATCTTGAACTGCTTAGAATTTCTCAGTTAAATATAATTTTTTTTAAGGATGATACATGTTTCAAACCCTGAGAACCTTTGATCTTTCTCCAAATGACGGCCATTTAAAAGTAGCAATGTATAATTACCACTCACAGTAATATTGTGAAATATTATTTCAATATAAAATAACAGTTTTTTTTTTTTATTTGAATGTATTTTAAAATGTATTTTATTCCCTTGATGCAAGGCTGAATTTTCAGCATCATTACTCTAGACTTCAGTGTCACATGATCCTTCAGAAAGCATTCTAATATGCTGATTTGCTGCTCAAGAAACATTAGAAACTGGTTTTCCATGAGAAAGTAGTTTGCCATGTCCTAAATTTTGGATGTTTTGTCAAATAACGAACCCCAGCTCATCCAGTTCATTTGTCACAGTGGAAAAAGAGGATGAAGCGGAGTGCTTTGCACTGTGGGATTCAATATTTCACACACTTTGCTTTGTAATAAGGTACACATTATGATGTAGGTCATCCTGGTATTTCATCCATAAAGAAAATGTGCTCACTGCAGAAATAGTAACAGTGTGGTAGTATGCTATTCTGAACATAGTTAGATGTGTTTGATAGCAGCTGTTTTTCCACTTTCCCTGTCAAACATCAATGCATCCTCATTTATACCAGAAAAAGGCACAGCAATAACCTGCATCAGGCCAGAAGACCTGCCATTAGCTGAAAGTGAACATTTTAGAAATCAGCAAAGAAACACGTTTTCAAATGAAAAGACACTTGTGCATATTCGGCCCATTTTCAGGAGACTGTGCCATTGTGCCTGAAAATAAAAATAAATAAATAAAAACAAATCATAATTTCTTCCAACCTGAAGTGCTTGAAGCATTTCTCACAGTGAGCATCATGGCGGAGGAGTAAACTCACTATAATTTTAGAAATACTACTCTTGTTGAGTAATAGAATATCGTTTTTTTTTTCTTTTTCAAATATGCAGTTTATTAGGGTGTCCGCAGCCGTTCAGCGCTCATGAACCGGCCGAGAGCAACCTCACCTCGGCCAGATCTTCTGGAACTTACCCCTGGCTCTGATGTCTCTATAGTGGTTAAACATGAGATATAATTTGTTTGGGGTAAATCTAATGGGTAGTCTTTGATCTCATTAATCTATTATTGTTCCAGAGCAAATAGTTTACCATGTCAATCAGCTTCCAACCTTATTTGTCACAGGCACACATGAAGTCCTTCACTTTAAAAATGCACAATTCTTCCACACACCCAATTTGTATGAAGCATCCGTTGGATGTTGAGAAGTGCACATCAATCAGTCCTTCCACAACTAACACGGCAGAGGATGTGAGAATGAATCTGTTAGTTGTGCAGCATCAGTGAGACTTTTAGATTTCAGCAAATACCTTTAGAAAAGAAGGATTTACAGTGAGACTTTCCTGGTATTAAGATAAAAAGGGAAACAGCAGGTGGAGATGGAAATCAGAGTGCTGCCATACACTAGATGGCAGTGTGGTGACATGACAAAGTCTGTGTGCGTGCCAGTGTCCTCTGCAGCTCTTTCTGATAGCTTTCACGTTTCAGGTTATCCAACAAGCTCTTTTCAGCATCATACACACACACACACACACACACATATATATATTATGTGTGTTTTTCGGGGGTATCTAACGTTGGTGAACATGATCATCTCAAAGAGGTTTGTGCTTACTTTTCTAAAGCAGTTGGAGGGGGGGAGCAACCATACTTTCACACAAGCCAGCACAACTCAAAAATGAAGTCTAATATTTGAATGCAATATATTTTACAAAAATGGCAAATTTGAAGAATACTAACTTATTCTGCTCAACTGAGAGATTTTAATCAGATGTTAGCATTAAAAGCATCGTCCTCTTTTGGTGAAGCACCATTCAGCAGGCTTTATACCTCTGAACAAAACCGAGCTCGCTCTCTCTCTCTCTCTCTCTCTCTCTCTCTCTCTCTCTCTCTCACACTCTATGAAGAGTTTATTTGCAAAAACAGATAACTCCGTTTTTAATTAATTTTCAAAAATCATGTTTTTTATTGTGTTATCGTGTTTTTATTGTGCTTTATTGTGTTAGTTAGCTGTATTTCTTTAGTTATTATTATTTAATCAAAACAAACCAACTGTAGTTTGATTGATATTAAGTCCCTTTAAGGGTATTCTATAGTCTTTGATATTAATTGGAATGCAGGATAAAAAAAACAAAAAAAAACATGATTTTTGAATATCTGAGTTATCTGTTTTTTGCAAATAAACTCTTCATATGGTTTTATTGTTTTAAAAAATTTTTTGAGCAATTTTACACATTATTGCAATTAATTACAATAATATGTGTAATATTTTGTTTTTCCATTCAAAGCTTGACTTCTCCTTTATTAATACTGACTTAGTATGTTTTTGTTACAGTATTTGGATCCTTTGACAGATATTTTGAATAAAATGGCGAGTTTTAAGTGTTATACATTACATTGTTGGCCAAAACAATGATTTGATCATTTTTTGTATGTTAAATTCTGCATTTTTACAGTTTCTTTCAGTTGTACTGAAAAGCAAAGGCTGTTTAATTGGCCTATTCATTTCATTGTGACAACTATTGTTGTCAGTATGTGTTCAATGAACTGTAGCAACAATTTTCAATGTGTTCAATAGCTTATTTATAACTGACTTATAAAAATAAACCAAACCTGAGAAATATTCATTGGAGGAGAAAGGCACTAATTACCCCTAGTCTCCCCAATACTGAAATATCTAATATAATATATTATGACCTCCACTATGTCAACACTGAAATGAAATTATCCGCTAGGCTAGCTTGACAGATTTCTGTACTAATTCCACTGGAACTGATTTGATGTCACACAGAGCGCTGTTTGTGTGTGCAAGCAGAAATTTTGTGCATTGCTCCTCATCAGCATGAAAAAGCTGCTGAGCAAGGATTGCTTTTAAGGTTAGTAGTTGTAGAACTCAACCCTGCTGACTTGATCATGTACATACAGTGTACACTGTTAGACTTTGCTGTAATTTTACAGTTACTTACCGCAAAAAAAGCCCAGTAAACTACCATATATATGTTTTACGGTTAACTACTGTAATATGCACTGAATTATGAATATGTTAATGCCATTTACAGTAATTTACTGTATATGGGAATTTGCGGTACTTTACTGTTTGCTCAAAAGCAGTAGTGCTACTGTAAATTGTTCTGCAGATGAAAAACATGAATCTGCATTCTCAATTTAATGTCTGGGTAAGCACAAGTGTGGTGAAATAAATGTATTTTTAAAATGATTAAAAAATAAAATATATAAACTTTGCTTACACCCCTCAAAATTTAAATTTTATTCGCGCGCAAAGCCCGCGCAACAACCTGGCAGAGGTTATATAAACTGAGGCTTGTGTCGGGGGCGCGCATAACGGACTTCCCCTCTGAGTGAATCGCCAGACGTCAGCTGCGAGTTTTCTTGTGGTAAGTACTTTTCGCTTACTTTTAAAACGTAAACCATTATCAATATCAATGAAATTAAAAAATATGAAGAAAGTAAATGTAAAATCTAATTATAGGCTATTACTAGGACAGTCTGAGGGAAAAGTTTGTTTTCCTCAAAAACTGCCGCTTTCATGAAACTCATTCAATTGTCCTGCAACTGACTAGTATAGTGACTATACAGTATAGTGACTATACTGACCTTTCCAGTATAGATGTGTAGTATTTACACAAACAATTATTTTTCGACTTTTTTACTGCTAGTTATGGTATATTTTACTCCTCAGTTAAATGAATACCGTTAAATGTGGCTTTTTACCTCTAAACAAACCCGAGCGCGCTCTCTCTCTCTCTCTCTCTCTCTCTCTCTCTCTCTCTCTCACACTCTCTATCTCAGTTTGAGCTGGCTTATAAAGAAGATCCTAAGCTCCTCTCTGCTGATGTGGGTGAGGTGTGTGTGTGTGTGTGTGTGTGTGTGTAGGTCAGGTTTTGTCACATAACAGGCACAAATTTTTCCCACATGTATCGTAAAACCTGAAATTATATTTTGTGGGGTGCAGCCAACAATCCTCATGAGGAAAAATGGCTCAATAAACATACAAATAATGTCTTAATGAAACTGGGAAAATGAAAAAAAAAGTTTGTGGGAGTTGGATTGGGGAGAAGTTTGGGGGATAGAAAATATTAAGACATTTATATTTTAAGTATAAAAACATATACATCAAAGTGTCTGTGTTTGAAATACCCTGAATACCTCAGTTTAAATTAGTATATTAGAAACTATATGTGAATAATAAAATGAAAATTCTGCCATCATTAACTCACCCTCATGTTGTTTCAAACCTGTATGACTTTTATTCTTCAGTTGAATACAAAAGGTGAATGTCTGAAAAATATCCTGAGCCACTTCCTTCCATATAATGAAAGTGAATGGGGACTCAGTATTATAAATATAATCCATACAACATATGCACAATATCCGAAGTTGATTTATGTGAAAAGTATTGAAGTCATTATTTACTAATAATACTCCCCTCTGGCGAAGCTCTGAAATAGACTACAAAAGTTGTTAAAAACTACAAAAATGTCAATGCCCTTTGATTAATAATATAGTGGTTATGATGTTGCCAGGGTGTTTCTATGTGGTTCCTAGGGTTCAATAAGTCAGTTCAATAAGTGATATTCACAAAAACTCACAAAACTCATAAAAAACTCCAAAACTCTTAACATAAAAATTGACAGTTTAGCATTCCATCACTTGCTCACCAGTGGATCCTCTCCAGTGAATGGGTGCCGTCAGAATGAGAGTCCAAACAGCTGATATAAATATCACAATAATCCACAAGTAATCCCATTCACTGCAGAGGATCCACTGGTGAGCAAGTGATGGAATGCTAAATTGTCAATTTTGGGTGA